GACGCGCGCAACACCCCCCCCCCCCCCCCCCCCCCAGTCTTAGTTCTATGCCAGGGTTCTTATGTATTCCAGATGTGAAACATTGTGTATTACAATCCTGCTGACTCATGACCTGTTCAACTAAGACTAAAGAAAAAGGAAAATATTATTTAGAACTAAGCTTCATATTCTGTAGAAATTACTTAGGAAACAGCAGATCAAAAAGACAAGGAATGACTAAAACTATTGGAGTGAAGTTAAAGAATTTCTCATCATTGTGATCCTTCTCCTCCATATCCCATGCAAGAACCACAATGGAATGGTGTATTTCCCAGGAAGCTTTTATGTATTGTAGTAAGCAACATCTCTAATGTATGATTACAGCGTACCGCAAGCCCCTTCCTGCTTGCTTTAACATAATAAATTTGTCACCCTATTTAGCCATTAATTAACAATGCACTGGTTCTTCTGTAGAATATTAACCTTGAAGAAGAAGATGGGGAAAAACTGAGTCCTTCATTCATGGATCTTTTTAGGACACCTCAGATGAGGAAACACACATTCATTTTGATGTACAACTGGTAAAAAAAAATTAGTTGTCTAAAGACATTGTTACAAAGCATTAAAATTACAGTTTTGTCTTACCTCCATTCTTGTACTCAAACTCAGTTGCCTTTTGCTCCAGACTAGCTTCGTCTGTGTGTCCTCTTGAACTGCTGGGGAGTTTTCTCTGTCACTCTGTCCTGTCAGGGGAGATTATTGGAACAGTATAAGCTAGAGTTCTTAATTGTGGTTTCAGTTTAGGCCTGCTGCCGTGATGACCTCAAATGTTTGGTCACTAGTGGATGAATTATGGGGTCACCTGAGGACTTCTCCACACATAGAAGTTATACTTGTTTCCCACTCTATCATGTGTAGAGTGGAAAAATTCCTATAGGGATAAGAACTGGGTTAGCCTAAATTGGTGCAGGATCAATCAGTTGGGCTCCCAGTGTGACGACCGCCCCCCCAGCATATGCTGTACCCAGAAATGTCACCCTAGCCTAGGTCTGAATTTAGCCAGGGGATGAGGAGAGATTGGGGAAAGCATAATGAAGGAAGTTCCTGAAAAGGGGGAGGTAACTGAGGAATACAGTGCAAGAGGGGTCCATCATGTGAGGACAAGATGGTGTGCTGTAGATTATTCATACAGATTATCCTGCGTTATCCACACAGTTACTTGCTGTATAGACAAGCTCTTAGTATCCTCTTAAATTTACCTACAATGGTTTCATATATCTTTTGAGGCAAGATGAGAATGTTAATACAAGCAGAATTTGCCTACCTTCTTTGAACTCACTCCCCAGATACATGGTCAACTTGCTCTTAACTAAGACGTCCACCATCTGAGCTGTTAAGAGGAGTTTCTTAGAAAACACGTTGCTTGTCCAACTGCCCATCTGAGTCACCATTGTGTCGGATGGTGAGGAAGCAGAGGGCAGAATGGGCACTTGACAAAGGACTATGCCGTCAGTGAGCATAATCCCATAATTAACTCAGGTCTAGATGTATGAGCAGGGCAAAAACTCTTTTAGCCTTAGTCTTGGATAACATTCATATTTACTACGCAACTCATGTTCAACATTTTGTTCCTACACTACATTATTTTGATGAGCTATAAACTCGTACCTCTAGTTTCTGCTTTCCAACATTTCTCTTTACAGTGAGGCTCCCAGGCTTACATCAAGACAGTTAAATAAATTAGAGCTGAAGTAGGTTTCCTGGACCTGATTGTGATTTAAAAGGTCTGTGCTTAGAGGAAACGGGTCTCTCTCTTTTGACTAAGTCTCTTAACCATTGTGAGCGCTGTTCTCTGCCTAGGTGGACAAGCTCTCTTCTGTACCAGGGGCTCATCATGCACATGGCAATGGCTGGTGAGAACATGTATCTAGATTTCTTCTATTCTGCCCTTGTTGAATTACCAGCTGCCTTCATTATCATCATTACAATCAATTGCGTGGGCCGTCGCTATCCCTGGGCTGTGTCAACTCTGGTGGCAGGAGCTGCCTGCCTTATTACAGTTTTAGTCCCTGAGGGTAAGTTTCAGAGGCTTCAGTAATTTACTTTCTCAATGTTACCTCTCATGGAGAGGGGGAATGGTGTCTTGTTAATCTCTCTCTCGGGACTGTTTGTTTCAAAGTTTGAAAAAGCACACCTGTGATTGTAAACTGTGTCACTGACAGATGCTGGAGTCTTTCCTCCCCTCTAGTGTCACTCCCAAAAGTGAGACGGAGTAAATGTCTACATTTTTGGAGACATCAGAGTTAATAGGAAATATCTTGGGGGAAAATGGGTGCTGTACGTAGCTTAGTAAATCACATTTTGCCATATGGTGCTGATGGTTTTAATCTGCTGCTTTATAATGTTAAACAATAGCAGTTCCTTAATTCTAATAAAATTGAAATAATATAGGATTATTGAATTCCACCAAAATAACATTGTTTGTTAGATAAAACCAACCCATCCAATCACCACTGGCCCCAAAACCTCCAGACAGCACTGTAAGTGAAATAAATGTTTCCTTTGCAGATATTCACTGGCTAAAAGTGATTTTATGTTGCATTGGGAGAATGGGAATTACAATGTCCTTCGAAATGGTTTGTTTTGTAAACATGGAGCTGTACCCAACTTTTCTGAGGTGAGTGCATTATCTGAGGCTAGCATGATATGAAAGGCAGTTGTTGGGAGCTGATGGATATATTGTATTTTTTGGCTTAACAATTAGTGTAGATTTAATCCTCGTAATTTTATGTCAGGATGAATTCTGTACCTGCTCAGTGTTTTGATCAACTCTGCTTCAACTACAGGACATTTTCAGACCAATCTAATGCAATGAATTATGTTAAAACAGGAACCTTAGTGTAATGGTCTGCTCTTCTCTGTGTGATGTCAGTGGGATGCTAGCCCCATTCATCGTCTATAGACTGGCAGAGATCTGGCGTGAGTTGCCACTTATAGTTTTTGGTAAGTGTTTTTCTTACCTTCTTATGGTGTTCCTCTGATGTATTAGCTATGCCTCAGTTACCATGACAAATACAACTGAGCAACTGATTCCAAATCTAGGGGGGAGAATATTTTTCCTTTCTCAGAATCTTCAGCTCACAATAATTAGTAGTTAACTTCTGAGTTGTGTATGTATTCAGTCTGATTCCATATTATTCTTATGGTTTCGTGTGTGTGTGTGTGTGTGTGTGTGTGTGTGTGTGTGTTTTTAAACCCCTTCAGACTAGAAAATGTTGCTGTGACAAGTCAGAAGATTATGATATTTACCAAAGTTTGGATTGTGTGTCATTTTGGGATAACATTAATTTGAACGACTTTCTCATTTTTGTTGTTTACTATCTGTCTGGAGACAATGTGTTGTAATTTCAAATAGTTTCTGTTCAGTATATTTTATTAATTACTAGCAGAAATACCCGGTGTTGCCTGGGGAAAATATATTAAAAGGTGTGATGAATGAACTACGTCAATGACATTAACATAGCATATTTTATTGGAAATACTTTTTTTATATATTACTTTAAAAAATTAACATAGCTAGTGATATGCTTACAAAACGCATTTACATTTAACTCCTTTCTTGATAACAAAAGGTGTGGTGAATGAACTACATAAATTACATTAACATAACATATTTTATCGGAAATACTTTTTCTGTTATCATAAAGAAAGGATCTCGTAGTTGCAGTTTGTGACACGCTTAACAGAAGAGTCCAGCAAATGCCTACAATCAGGTGCTACTAAAAGCGAATTAGTGGCCCAATTGGAGCTCTGGGGGCCCAATTGCAGCTCTGGGGGAACTGATTTCGAGATATAACCAATCCAGTTATTTAAATCAGGAAATCAGCAGTATCTGTGCAAAACTTAGTGTTTTTAGCTCTTACCGTTTGAGATTTTTCGGGACAAACTAACTTTTGGAAATATTTATAAGATTAAGGATGTTGCATACTTCTGTCTTATCAATATTTGTTTTTTATTGGACAACCATATAATCATCTTTTTTTAAAAAAGTCTACAGATTGGTAAACCTTTTCAAAGTAGGCTGAAACTTCCTGGAGATTAGTCAGCTTTAAGCCAGGTACTACAAAATCTCTGTTTGAGCTAATGCATGAAGATTATATTTGAACACAATACATTATTTTTAATAAAGGATGTATATATATTATTTACAGGGGACTTAATAATGCATGCATTTTAAAATGGGACTTATGTAAGTTGGTAACCAGGAATTTAGTGAGTGAGAGGTTAACTGTGATTTTTAAGCTTCAGGGGGATAGCTGAGTTAGTCTGTAACAGAAAAAACGAAAAAAAAAAAAAAAAACCAGCTCAATAGTCTAGTAGAACCTTAAAGACTAAATAGTTACAAGAGGCTGATAAGAACCATTAGTACCTTCATTGTTTTTTTGGTTGGTTAAGTCATTAAGATGTGGATAATGTGGGAGTCAGCTGGGTTCATACCATTTGCATAAGAATTAAACTTGTTAATGAAGTTAAGTTCCAAACTTTTCTGTGTGTATTTTGGTTGTGGAATTGGTGTGAAACAAAACAGTGACTTGAAGATCCATTAATGAGTGACCAGGACAATTAAAGTGTTCTTCAACTGGTTTGTGTGTTGTCTTTTCAGATATCTGATTTGTGTCCATTAATTTTTTCCCATAAAGACTGTCCAGTTTGGCCAATATAGATTGCAGTGGGACATTGCTGGCATTTGATGTCATGGATCACATTAGTGGATGTTCAATTAAATGAACCTCTGATTTGGTAGCTGATGTGGTTGGGTCCAGTGATGAAATCGCTGGTGTAGATGTGTGGGCAGAGTTGGCACCAGGGCTGATTTCGGGGGTGGGTTCCTGGATGTGATGGAGGGATGTTGTGTGATTACTGGAAAGAATTTGTTTGAGGTTAGGGGGTTGTCCGTAAGCGAGAACTGGCCTTTCCCCCAAGGCCTCTGAGAGTGAGGGGTCATTTTTCAGGATAGGTTGTTGATAATGCGTTGGAAGGGGGTTAAGTTGTGGACTGTAGGATTCTATTGTTTTCACTTTTGGGCCTGTCTTGAAGTAGTTCATGTCTGGGTACTTTTTGGGGGTCTGTCGATCTGTTTTTTCACTTCTCTAGGTGAGTATTTCAGTTTTAAGAATGCTCTATATAGATCCTGTATGTGTTTGTCTCTGTCTGGGATTGGAGCAAATCCGGTTGTATTTTAGGGTTTGGCTGTATACAATAGATTGAGAAATGTGTCTGTCATGGAAGCTAGAGGCATGCAGGTAAGTGTAGTGGTTGGTAGGTTTCTGGTATAGGGTGTTGGAAATTTGTCCATCATTTAGTTGTACTGTAGTAAAATCTAGTTCTCATGGTGCCAGAGAAGTCAAATACATTTCCTATCATACAACTATACAGCCTACCATTCGTCAAACACATCTTTCCAACGTGAGATATTCCAGTTCAGAACATATCTTATAATTATAGGTAGTAAAATTTAATTCTCTCTAATACTACAATGCCCCTGAAAAGCTACAAACCTGTCTTGTATGAGAAAAATTGTGTGTGCGTGTATACACTCTAACTATAGAGTGAAATTTGGCACTCTATTTTTGTATGTTAAAAGAATTTGTAGAAGAGATTTTTTTAAAATTAAATTCCACAATTATAGCAGCCAGACACGTGAAATGTAAGTTGGGTTCTAACTTGGTCTTCTGTGTGTTTAATTTGAAGCTGTGGTTGGTTTAGTTGCTGGTGGATTGGTGATGTTGTTACCTGAAACCAAAGGGAAAATGTTGCCTGAGACTATTGAAGATGTAGAAAACTTGCATAGGTAAGTCAGGAGGCACATTCAGATTGTTCAAACTGTTCATGTTTTGAAAAAAAAAAAAAAAAAAAGCTTAACAGAAAAAGCTAAAATGTAAATGTACATCCAGAGGTTGCCATAGAAACTCACAGTATTTGTGGCATAGTTACTGTAGTATGCTTCTCTGTTCTAGGTGTAGGAATGCTATGTAGATCATGGCAACACTCATTTTGCATTCCTAACGTAACTATAATGTAATAACAATGACCACTTGGAATGCATCCTTGGAATTTAAAGGTCCTATGAAAAATGTTCAATTTTGGCATCTCCAGGAGGTGCATCCATTCTGTTCCTCCCCCAAATCACCACAAAAATCCCATAACATTTTTTTTTTGCACTATTCCCATGGTGAGTTTTCACAGGACTGAAAAGAAAAAACAGGTAGGAGGGATGTTGCATTTTCTGACTGATAAAATTATGCTGTTTCTAAGAATTTCTTACAAAGGCTTAAAACAAAGAGCTTGACCCATGTTTCATGTGTATAAATACTGTAAATATTAAAAATCCTGTGATCTGTCTAGACAGGACTAACAGCAGGATTATGGCCTGGAATTGGCAGTATGTACCCCCCTCATTCCCTTACAGTAGTTACCCTGATCTAGCAGCACAGGAAGGAGAGCAGTCTCCTGGCTGTTGCTTCCCAACTTGGTGCATGGAATAGGGAGTGAGCAGAGCCATGGCTCTACCCCTGGAATTTTCTGACTAGCATAGTTATGCTAGCATGTCAGAGGAAGGAAATTGTGCAAGCTATAGGTCTGGCACAAGGCATATTAGGGAGAATGGATAGTAGCCAGATTGTGACTGATGGTTTTATTCTAAACCTTTTCCTGTCCAGAGCTATTATGGGATGGCTGGCCACCTTTTCTGCCTCCAGAGCACAGTTTGTTAGTTCAAGAACCTCCTGGCTTCAGTTGGTTGCACTGGGAACATCGTTTCTCAGGAATCTGAGAACAACAAACAGAGGCTCTCAGTTGGACTTTGTATGGCAGCATGAATGTCTCAAACTCAGGGCACGACTGACTTACCAAATGCTCTTTGGGCAGGTGGGAGGATAGAGGGGGGAGTTTTTCTTTTTTCCTATAGAATAGAAAAAGGAGTCCTTGTAATCAGTCACTCAGTGCAGTGCTGTAAGGCAGCAATGTTTGTTGAGAGGGAGAACAAATGTTAGGTCTTTGGAAACAGCTCATTTTCATGACATCAGTGGTCAGTGACCAAAAGTGCATGTGAGGTTAGATGACCTTTGAACCAATGATGACATCGCAAGAGTCAAATTAATTGTACTCTATATGGCACCTAGTTGTCGTGACAAATAGTATATTGTAAAATGAAAATCTGCTGTTTAGCCTATAAGATTTGCAATGCACTATACTGTTGCTGAATGTGTCCCTTCATATAGGCAAGGTACCATAGCAAATTTCCTAAGTATATGTTAACTACATGAGTAGTCACATTACAATCAATGGGGCTACCCCCTGGCTTGACGTTAGTCAACAGTGGATAGTATGTACTCGATCACAATAATAATAATTACAAAAAAAAATTGCAGGATACTCCTCTCAGGTGAATTACAGATTGTGATGCTGAAGTTGAATTAACATGTTGGCTGACTGACATTTTCAATTGTATAATTGTATAATGATTTAGGCACAGAAGACCCATTTTTCAAAAGTTACTGAGGCATCTAAGAGCCAAATTCTGATTGGAGTCAGACGAAAGTGCCTAAATCACTTTTGAAGTGGGACCAATGAAAATATTGCCTTTTTATTTAGCAGGCCAGTATTGTGTTCCTGGTTAGTTCTGTTTCGGGACAAGGCATGCTTTTTCTCCTCACTTTATCGTTGTCCTAATTCCCTATTTGTTTTTGTTTCATTTTTACAGGCAAGAAAATCTTAGGGATAAAATTATCTACCTCCATGTGCAAACATAGGAAACTGCATGTTCCAAATGTGATCTGTTTTTGGCACAATACTACAAAAAGAGTTTAAGTAACACACATTGTAGAACTTTCCTTTTATGCGCCTTAATCCCTGGCTCCGCATACTCAGGCTTTTTCCCCCTGCTGTGTTGTCCAAAATGCACAAGTTACCAAGTATCTTCCCTCTTACCATGGTTTTGAAACTTTTTGTTGCCAATCACGTACACTTATCTACATGATACATGCGCTGCTGTCATGCTTATAGTGTTTTAGTTCCTATTCATACAGAGATGACCTGAGGTTATGTCTACACAGCAATGTAATCCTACGGTTGACTTGAGCCAGCTGACCCATATTGGAGAACCCTGGGCTTGAATGTCTACACTGGTTGGTTATTAACCCTACATTAAAACTTTTCTAACTCAGGCTTGAACTTATGGCACTCATGTCAACACTACACACATTGATCCAAGTCAAAGCAAGCAAGTCCCTTGTACCCTCCTGAAATGGATCCACTCTAGCCATTTGACACTGGTGCACTGCGAGAAAACTTTACTGCTCACTCTGCTACAGGAAGTTTGAAGAGTTCATCAATGGAGCCTGCCAAATAGTATTTTTGGTCTGTGTGCTTCCAGCTACAGGAGCCAGGAATATGCAGGAGGTGCCTTTTGAGGAACGTCTCTTGCTCGTGCTTCGGAATCACGTTGTGCAGCTTTTGATGGCCAACAGTGGGTCTGGCTTGCCCCTATTCTCTAGTGTAGAGGAGGGTACCCTTGGTAAGCAATAAGCAGGTTGCTCTATCCATCTGGAAGCTGCTACTGGTCTGTTGGCAGCCAGTTTGGGGGTGTGTGTGTGTGTGTGGGGGGGGGAAGACTGTGAATAAAGTGCTTCGGCAACCTCCACTGCCAATCAGGGTGGCAGTCATTAAAGATAATCCTGAGGTAATTGCTGGCTTTGAGAGAATGGGGGTTCCTAAGTGCCCAGAGGCCTTTCATGGGATTTGTATGTCCATAGTTTGCTGCCCTGAAGTAGGGATGTAAACAACGAGTCGACTACCCAATAAGCATATGCTTATCGAGTAGTTGCTTTCCCCTGTTTGCTGTCTCTATCAGGCTGCGTCTAGACTACATTCCTTTTTTGAAAGCGGAATGTAAATGAAGGAAATAAAAAATGTAAATGAAGTGCTCATTTACAAGTCTTGTGCTTGTATAATCGCGTCCGCTCACTTTTTTGAAAAATTAAAAAAAAGTCTAGACATGGTTCTTTTGGGGAAAAAAACCCACCCTTTTTCGAAAGACCCTTTCTTCCTGAAAAAAATGAGGTTTACAGTGTTCTTATGAAAGATTTTTTTTCTTTGAAAGAACTGCGTCTAGACTGCTTTTTTTTTTTTTTTCAAAAAAGCAATCGGACGCAGCCTCATAGAGGGGCAGCGAGGGGAGCAGGAATTGGTGTTGGGGGCAGCTGGTTTATAAGCTGTTTCCCCAGCACCATCTCTGTGGGGGTCAGTGGAGGCAGAGACATTCCTACTGCTGCATCTCTTCTTTGAAATGTACAAGAGCCGTGGAAGTCTTTTGTACATTTCAAAGGCAGAGGCACAGTGGGATAATGAGTGCCCCCCTTATTGACCTCTTGATGAGCTGATTAATCAAAATGTAACATCCCTATCCTGAAGGATTACATGAGGTGATGCAGCAAGAGCAATAAATGTTCTGGATGACTGTGAAAAAGCTTTATTTGTACATGTGTTAAGAGAACATCAGTCACTCATTGCTAGGCAGGCCAGCTGCCATTACAGCACCCCCAAATCAGTAACAGATGACGTTTCCAAAACAAAACCATTAGAAGAGTAGGAAATGGTGTAATCCTACTGCTGCATGTCTTCTGGCCCCATGCTCTCCTTTCCCTTCTTTCTCTGTTGTCCATAGCACACGGGTGTGGTGTGTTAGAGGTATCCACAGGAAAGGTGTTCGAGAAGGAAGGCTGTGTGGGGGCTAGTTGCCCTGCCCAGCCACTCGGTGGGTTTTACTGTATAGGCTTCCCCAACGTGGAGTTGCCCAAGCTACTTCTGGATGGAGGATATGTTTCAGGGGGATGAGGCTGTGATGTGGGAGAGGCCATAATGAGTCACTGGGGCTATGTCTACACTACGCGTTTTCTCGGCAAAAAATATGCTAATGAGGGGGAGTTTTGCACAAAGATCCTTGTGCCCCCCAAAAAGGAGGTATACCAATCTTGCAGGAAAAGATTTTTGCACAAAAAGAAAACGTCCAGACTGCTTGTTTTTGTGCAAAAATCCAGAGCAAAAGCGAATTAGCAGAAAATATGCAAATGAGATTGCAATTCATACAAATAAGTCCCTCTTTAGCATATTTTTTGCCGAGAACTCGTAGTGTAGACATAGCCTCAAAGATTTCTTATTCGGCTCTGTCCTCCTCCCTTAGCTCCCTTTCCTGTTCCAGGAAACTGTGTGGGAGTGTCAGCTCCTTTGCTGAAACCCTGTCTTCCAGCAGAGCTGCTAGCCTCAGCTGTTGCTTCTGCCTCCCAGCCTGCCATGGCTCCAAGTCTTATCTCCCTCTGCTCCTGCACCCGCAGGTAGGTCCCCTCAAGCACTTCACCCACAACTTCATCATGGAAGCCCTTTCACTTAGAACAGTCCATGAACATACGTTGGGCCAGGGGCCAAGGTGTGGATGTGCAGCAGCCAATGGAGGGTTAAGGGGCCTGCAGTCGAACAAGAAACAGACAGAGTTATGGTCCGCAGTGGCTCAGGGGAGGAGCACAGAATGAATTCTTATAGAACCTTGTAAGTAAATGTTACATTCCAAAATGGAAACCAAAGCTCTTGTGCAAGGGATGCTGCTTTGGCCACAGATTCTCTGGGCACTGCCTGGTGAATTGCAGTTATAGAAGTGCTAAGACCAGGCTACATTTTATCATTTTAATTTTTTTTCAGGTTTATGAAAAATTGTGGAAGCCCCTGGGTTGTGGGGAGAAGGAGCAGCCAGTTCTAAAAAAAGCCTGTTTCTGTTATTTTGGGCCTTTCACACTGTGAGGCCATAACTGCTGTTGTGGCTGCCCTATTGACAGAGGGAGATGTTCTCCTCAGCTGCTAGTGGAAAGCTTGCAGTGTATGAAGCCAAAGTATTCATACATGCTATGTATTTATGAATAACTAGTTAGCTACTGAGGGGGGAGGGGATCTAGAGAATACTCCCTTCCCTGCAATGTTACTGCTTATCTGCAGTTCCATACTGCAGGAAAAGTTTGCAGTTATCCCCAACCAGGAGTAGGTCAGAATCCACAAGGCAATTAAACTGGGGTCAGAAACTCACTGGGTTTGAGGGGTGGCTTACATCTCCCCTGGGTTTGCTGCAGGCTTGACAGTGGTGCGCTCCTCAGGTACCGTGGCATTGCTGTTGATTCTGTCCCACAGCCTGCTCTGGAACCAGTTTCAGAAGCAGTGTCATTTTATCCGTTTCCTTCAGAGTCTGCTACTGGATCCCATCCATTCCCATGCTGGATGCAGGGCTCAGCAGCACAACATTCCAGCAGCTCTGTGCTAGGTGCAGTGCCCAGCACCCAGTTGAACTCCTTATAAAGCAGTCAGGCACTTGGCGAGATGCCTGAGGTGTAGTTCCTGGCCCTGTTTCTTGGTACTCATTATTGAGTGCTTAATCTGCTGCCTGCACTGGTTACTGGCCCAGAACATTGGCAGAGCTGCCAGTTTTTTAGCTATCTGCTGGCATATGTGGTCATTCCTGGTACTTTTGCTAGTGTTTAGAGCTTCACTGCCCTTGCACCACAGCCACCCAAATATAGCTGTGCGTTTGCCCACAAAGTCACATGCTGTGTGAAGGGTTTGTTCTGTTTGCTCTCCCCTGCAAACTCAGAGGGCTTGCCAGGGGTGTAGTTGTGGCTCAGTGACCAGAAGGCAATGATAGGGTTAATGCTGGCGGGTTAATGCTGGCTGACTTAGCTGCTGCTGTACACGTACGGGGTTAGGTTCCATGGGCAGTGGCTGAACCTAGGGCTGTGGGAGGCAGGCCCCCTGCTATACCCCAGAGCATGGGTGGCCCCAGCCTCACTGCAGCTGAAGCCCTAGCAGTCCCAGGAGACAGGAGGGAGCTGTGCTGAAAGGAGTGGGCTAGGGGAGGAGTGTGGGCAGGGCCACACTTGGCAGTTAAACTTCCCCTGCCTCTGATACCTGCCGCCCGTGCTGGGCTCCATTTTCAGTTGGGTCAGCTGGAGGCTGTTGGGCTAGAGAGGACTAGGGAAGTTGGCCCATGGAATGGTAGGATACTTCTGTCCTAGGAATTTGCCAGGAGCCATGTGGGGCTGCAGCTTGACAAGGGCTCAGGCCCTCCACCCCTGCAAGGCCCTGGGTCCAAGCCCTGCATTAGCACAACTTGTGTGAGGATGGAATAAGGGGCCCAGGTGTGAGCCTGAGTCTTAGATACCTATGCATCAGCCACCATCAGGGGATCATCTCACATCCCGTTAGCAATCCTTTAGCATCTTTGTAGCAATTTTTTTCACATGGAAAATTGAAGATAAAATATTCCAGGTGAGAGCCAAGCCCCATTGGAATCAATGACAGAAAGCTCTTTGACTTCTGAAGGGCCAGGATTTAACTGAATATACTTGTAGCTGTTTTTAAATCCTCTTTATTAGTTGGGAATAAAGAGGCATCGTTTTGTGCCCAGCCAGCTCTCCATGGCCCATGTGGAGGTGCTTAGCTGACCATCAGAGATGTGTAGCCCCCTTTGGCAAACACGGGTGTGGAGAACGGAGTTATTAATATTCTGTTTATAAATATCTTATGCCCAATGCCTGCCTTGTGGCCAGGAGTTGAATCAAAGCCACTGGAAATGAAACAGTAACATGAAGAGGGTTCTGGGGGAAATGTTGGAAAAATGTTTTTTGGGGGGAATATCCCATACCTGGCTTCAGCTAGACTAGAATGATTAATTTCCCCAAATCTGGCCAAAGATTGAAGAGAATCCTAACCTTACTCCCTCCAGCCAGCCTTCCCCCCACTCCCAAAAAAAGGCTGGTCTCGGAAAGGGGGAGAATGGAATGTGTCATCAGTTGATGGAAACTGACCCTCCACCTTCATTGAGATATGGAGGGTGCCTGCAAATGGGACAGGTTCCCAAATTAGAGATGGGCATAAATGGTCTTCCAGGTGCTATGGCAGAGGGGTTAAGCTTAGGTTCGGAGGTACGTGTCTAGCCCAGTGATACTCAATAGGCCGTTCAGTGGGGTAGCTTGTTTTCCGAAATGCTTTGTACCAGTGAGGAATGAATTTCTCACACTTGGTTTTCAAGCCATTGTTTTAGGTCACTGCAAATGTACAGCTCTCACAGGCACCAAAACAGTTGCACCTGGGTCATTATCACAATTGGGAACCAGAGAGCTGCAGCACAGAGATCCAGTCTGAGACACAGGACCCACATGGCTCAACCCAGAGTGAGATGTAGGAAGCCAGGCCTGTCACTCAAGGGACTACAAGGGAATGAGCAGCTGCAGGTCACTCTGTAAGAATGACACCTTGTTTTAAGAACTGGTATTAAGTATAATACCCTAATGACTCATAATGTCTGAGCAATGGAACATCAACAGGCTATTAAAGAGATAAGGCGGGCGAGCTGACATCTTTTATTGAATCTGCTTCTGTTGGTGTGAGACACAAGCTTTTGAATCATACAGGGTTCTGAGACCTGAAGAAGAGCTCTGTGTAAGCTGGGAAAGCTTCTCTCTCACCAACAGAAACTGATTCAATAAAAGGTGCTGCCTCACCTACCTTGTCATTTCATGTTAAAGTATTCTAGCTAAGTCTTTAGCTAAAGTCAGTGGGAAGACCTCTTCAGGCTATCAGCAGTTAATGGAAATGAAGAGACATTTCATAGCCTCCTATTCCATCAAAACCATTACTTAAGGCAGGGGTGGGGAACCTCAGGCCCAGGGGCTAGATGCAGCCCCCAGCTTGACCTGATCCAGCCCCTACAGCCCATGTCCCTCCTTCCCCTGCCCCATCACTGGGGAGCCAGTGCTGGTGCCCCAGACCCCTGCTGCCTCATATGAGCGAAGCACACAAAACCTATGAAGTTGGGCCTCCCTATGCTCTGGTATAGAAGGGGAATGTGGGGGGGGGGGGGGAGTTTTTCTTTCTCCTCAGTCAGGGGCCACATCAGTGAGATTTTTGGGGGGGGATTATTTTTCTCATTCATGTGTGGCCCCTGACTGATTATTATTATTATTTTTTTTGTGGATCAGTGGCCCCTGACCCAAAAAATATTCCCCACCCCTGACCGAAGGACAGTGTCGGAAAGGGAGATAAGTCCTCATGCTTCTGGTGAAAAACAGCCTCTAATAAATGGAAGTTAGGAATAACTGCTTCTGAGGGTCAGTTATTCGCTAACTGCTACTGCAGGGTTTCACCCACTTTGCTCTGCAACATCCGTGCCTGTTAATGTCAGAGATGGGATATCGGACTGGATGGATTGCCGCCTTATCCAGTATAGCAATTCCTCTCTATAGAAGAAGTTTAAAAATTTGAGTGACTATTTTATGTATTGCATAGCACTTAGTTTATGTACATTTTAATGTCAGGTGTTTTGCAATCAGGAAAAGAAATTGTAATGATCTTTTAGGGATGAGACACTCCATTTGTAGAGGGAGTTTAACTAAAACAGATAGTGTCTGTTAAAGTAAAACCAGAAGAGCCATTATCAAACTGTTTTGCTAACGGTTATGAGTTTAATAATCCCTTTAAAGCAACTTACCGCCTACAACATGTTAAAATATTTTAAGGAGTGTGTTCAAAGGGCTGGGAGATAGGCCTGGAATGTGAGGAAGGACTAAGGGTAATAAAATCAAAAGCCCTTAACAGCAGAAGAAACTAATGTAGAACAAGGATAAAATTGGCGAGATCGACAATAAATGTAGGAAGTGCTGGATGGAGAAAAGCACAGATGGCAGGAGGTCAGAGGCATGAAGATAGGCAAAGAAAAGGGCAGAATAAATATGCATGGCATCAGTCCAGCCTCCAGTGAGAAGCCCATTTTTTGTTTTTCGACTAAACTAACTGGCAGCATTTTAATCTTAATTCGTAAATCCCTTCATGCTACATATTCTCAGTTGAAGCAGCCCTACAGAATCCTACACTTTTATCACTGCCAGTTTCAGGATTCAGAGTGTGTGTGCAGGAGCAAGGAGGGGATGGCTGGCTATAATTCTCCCCTCCCACTCCCCCAGCAGCTGGCTATTGTGTAAGGGTGGGCAAGATGTGGCCTGTCAGCTGGATCTGGCCCGTGGTCCCACCCCTGTGCCAGGGAGCAGTGCTATTCAAAGTGGCTGACTGCTCCTGTGGCTCTCTGCATTGCAGGGAGGGAGGAGGCTCTGCATGCTGCCCTTGCCCCCCCCCCCCC